TCATTCAATCTCTATAGCACTTTACATTGAGTCTCACTCTGCAGTTGAGCAACAACCAGTAAACACCACAATCTACACATGGGCCTTAGCTCTACCCTCCATAGGCAGTTTCCATGTGGTACTTGGGTTAAGTATGCCTGACTACCATAACACTTTGTTTTTTTATGTCTCCATGTGCTTTCTCAACTATGCTAACTAAACATACACAGCCCAGCTCTTTATCGTGTCCATATCCCACACTACCAAATTACCACGGTGAAGCTATGCACTAATTGACTGTGTGCTTTATATCAGGGATTAGCAAACTTTTTCTCTAAGGGTCCAGAGAGTAATCAGTTCCAGGTTTGCAGGCTGTCCAGTCTGTGTCCTAACTCCTCAAATCTGCCCTTGCAGCACAAAAGGAATCATGACAGCAGCTACAGAAATGGGAAGGCCTGTGTGCTGATAAACTGGGTTTGCATTTGAAATTTCATATGGGTAGAGAATATGGGTCATGCCACATCATCTACTTTTTGAAGTTTCCTCATCATTTAATAATGTAAACACTCTGTTGGCTCAAAAATAAACAACAAGCCATTGTAGATTTCTGGTTTGCTTTCTATGGGGACTGTGTGTAAACAAGAAATTATCCTTTTAAGTGGTCTTTTTTTTTTTTTTTAATATTGGAGCAGGGTCTACATGGTCTCACTACACAGATCGGACTCATAGTGATGATCCTCCTATCTTCATCCTCCCAAGAGCTGGGATTACAGGCATGTCCCACCACATCTAGTCTCAATCACCATCTCAGTGGGCCCCTGGGGCAGGGCTGGCACAGTATGCCAGGATTGAACCCAGGCCACTGAATCTAACTAAGCCAGTGCTTTAATCCACTGAGCTATTTGGCCCACCCTAAGCTGTCTTTTAATTAGGGTGTAACAATCATTTAGTAAAATTCATTTTGCTAAATGCACCATTTACAAAATACAGCATTCTTAAATGCACAGTGGATTGTGATGTACCAACACACAGGTTCAGATGTAAAACATGCCCATGACATAAGACACTTCTTCATAGTCCTTCATAAAGAATGCCCTGACTGAAGACCGATTTTCTTTTCTTTTTTGAAGACTCATTTTCTTATAAAGTAATCTCTACACTTTCAATAGGCCTGCACTATATAAACTTTTACAGGTAAATAAAAAATCAAAAGGCAAACATGTATTTTTAAATAAAACTTCAAGTATCATTAGCATTTGGAACTACATAGAAGAATGTCTTATATTTTCAATAAAGTGATATAGATAAGCAATCCCCAAAAGCACTTCTGCTCACTTACGATCATTTTTCTTGGCCATGCCACATTGACTCTGGGCATCCTTACCTGGGCCAAAGTGAGGGTGGCTTGTTTGCAGGTGCTGCACCGTACGCGGAGCTTTCCTGGCTGCACCCTTTGGCAGGGGACTTTGCAATAAACGTAGAAGCTGTTGTAAGTTGTGCTACCTGTGGGGAAAGGAGCAGAGATCAGTGTTGGATCCAGATTCAGAGGTAACCCTAAAAAGGCTCACTAGATGAGGATTTCAAGCAAATCCTCAAAACATTTTGAAACATTAGTACAATAAATATTACAAAGAGGATGCAACAATTTAATTTAGAGAATGTAGTTCTATGTTAAAAAGAGTAAAATCTTTTTTATTTTCTTGCCACATTACGACTTCCTCTGAAAACTGAGCAACCTGTCTTTAAGAGAGCTGGCCAAATACATTTGCAGCACACTGAATTACATGCACTGTCTGCTGGGGAAGATTGCAGAAAGGACAGAAAATTTAGAAACTACTGGAAATTTAGAAACCACTGCTGTTAAATTCCATTTCATGCTTCTGTACACAGTTTTGAAGATTCCAGCATTTTCCTCTTAAATTCTTAAGTGTAGATACAAGCCAGCCCATTTCCCATGATATAAATGGTCTAATCACAATTTTCTGAGTTTCCATGAAGAAACTTTGCCAAGACATAGTCACCCAAAGAATCAAACAAGAGCCCTGAACCTGGAGCTTAACAGGTCCAGCTGCCCACGTGCAGAAATGGATGCTTCACAATTCAGAGATATTCTCCCTACATAGACAGAGGTCATATAAATGATGTATGTTCAAGATTAAATGTGAACAAAAACAATTTAAAATGCAAATATTGAATATATCTGTGAGATAGCAAAAAAAAAAAAAAAAGGTAAAGGGTTATTTTTTAAATTAGGGAAATATTTTTGGTTTGTTCCATCCTTTCATATCTGAAAAGAACTAACTTTATTCAGAAGCACCTACCTTGAAATAGCTTTTACAATTTCTAAGTTTCAAAATTTCTTAACAGTTCTTTCTCCTTTAATCCTAACCTTACCATTACTGGATAGGAGATAATATAAAGTGTCATGGCACAAATTTGTATAAAATTTTACTGGTATCAAGAGAAGCATCTAGCAATGATAAGTATTTCTATGGAT